TTAATCTTTTGATTAATTTAGGTTTATTGTAATAAAGTTTCTACTATGACATTATATTTAATAAAAAAAAAAAAAAATACTTTAATTTTTTAAGTCTCTTTTCTTTACGTTTATTATAAGCTAATTTTTTCTTTTGTTTTTTTTATATTTTTTTTACATCAGATAGCTATTATCAAATTATTATTAATAATATTTTAAGAAAATTAAATATAATTTAACTATATTCTAAAATATTCAAAAATATTCAAAATTATTCAAAAGTTTTTAAAAATGTTTAATGGTATAAATCTTAGTTCCAAGAAAGTTATGAAGAAGCAAAACAAAGCAGATAAAAGCAAGAAGGCTAAAAAAAACCAAGAGAAGAGCTTAAAGGAAAATTAGTTGTTAGTGAAAGTTTTCGAGAATGATTTGATGAGTTACAAATTGAAGGAAGTACTAGATATCAGTCAAAAAAGACAAAAAATCTTGAAGGTTTTTAAATATATTAAATATTTTTAATTTATTTTTATAATATTTATAATAATTTACTTTTTTTTAAAGTATCTGAAAGTACTGTAGCTAAACTGTTAGAAAATCAAGGAGAGTTGATATTTGAAATTAGGCAACTACATTCACAAGTTACTAGATTAGAGAATCATTTGATGGAATTTGAAGAAAAATTAGTGGACAAATAAAATAACTATGAATGAAAAGGCTTTTATAGAAGTAAATTTTTATTTCTTTAAATTAATTTAAAAATATTTTAATATTATTCAAATAATAGCAAATGGTAAAGAGGGCTGCTAAAGCCATATTAGAATGTTCAATTTATCTAAACTAAAAAGAACTATTATCAGCAGTAAAAACATATCTGAGAATGAATAATGCTGATTTTATAAATAAAATGTCAAAAAACTAGTTAAAAATTTATTATGCAAAGAACTTGAGTGGACTAGTAAAAATTTGGTTTATTTTAAAATTTTCAAAATATTTTGCAATAGTTATCACTGTTTTCAAAATAGTTAAATATGCATAGTCATGTGAGGGGTGCATAAAATATGCAAAGTTATATAATATAAATTTTTAAAAAATAATTGTGTGTACATATGTACTGGTGTACTCTAAAAAAAATATTTTTTTGTTATTTTCAACTACTTTGAAAACAGCGATAAAAAATATTCAAATATTTCAAAAATTTTAAATTTTCAAATATTTTTTAAATATTGCAAAATAATTTAAATTTTATACTAATACTAATAATAATATTTTTTAAAGCTTTTAGAAAAAGTTAGACATTTGTAAAATACTTTAAATACTAAAATTAAAAATGCTATTATTTTATTTTTAGAGATCTTTTAGAATGTATTAATAACAAATCAACTTCTAAAGAAGTTTTAATTTGGAAAAAATTAGCAAAAACAAAAAAATGTTATGAGAAGCTCTTTAAGAATATTAAGGAAGGTTCTGAAGATACTTATATGACTTGAATTTTAGAAAGAATCTGGCAAACTAGTGGTGCTTTAAATGAAAATGCTGCATATGCAATTGCAGTATGCCAAACTATACTTAATCCTAATATCAAGACCTTAGTAATTAGTGAAAAAATTATATAACAAAGAGTTGAAAGAAATCTAGTAAGTTTTTATTATTATTTTTTCAAAATATTTAAAATTTTAACAAAATAATGCGAATATATTCGAATTATAGTAGCATTTAGAAAGAAATAAACATTTACTTCATCTAATTCCAACAATGATTCTTCTAGCTCAGAAAATAGTAAAGAATCTGTAGAATCTAGTTTAAAAGATTCAGATTAAGTAAAAATTTAAATATATTAATTATTATTATTATTATTTATTAACTCTATTTAAAATATTTAAAATAAGGATAGCAAACTTAAAAGGCCTTTGAAGTATACTGAAAAAGTATGTATATATTAAAATTTTTAATTATTTTGAAAAATCTAATATTAAATAAATTTTAGGCAAGAAAAAAACCAAGAGAAGGTAAGTAATTTTAAATATTTATATAATATTAATTAAGATAATCTATGTATTTAGAATATTCGAATATATTTAAAAAATTTTAAAAGAACCTGAAGAAAGCGGCAAAAATTTAGAAAAATCTGAAGAAAGTGGCAAAACTTCTGAAAAAAATCAAGACGTCTCAGAAGTAACTAAGGTAAGTTCTGATGAGCAAGAACCAGAGGATAATGAAGAGACTTCTAATAAAGATCAAGATAATTCAGAAAAAGAAGAATATACCCCCGAAGAAGATACCTCTGAAGAAGATGCTTCCAAAGAAGATCAGAAATAACTGTAAACCTTTTAATTTTTTTTGTTTTTTTATTATATTTGAATAATATTATTTTTTTTTTCTTTTATTTTATAAATCAATAAATTTGCTTTTATTTGTTAAATAAATATATATTTTAAATAAAGTTAAATATATTTTATTGTATTAAATAATACTATAATTTTCAAAAATATTTAGAATTATTTCATAATTTATTGTAAATGTTTTTAATATGTATATTTAAATTTCAAAAAATATTTTAAAATTATTTAAAAATTTCAAAATTATTTGATATATTTTATATTATATATTAATTTTATACAATTTTGAATATTTTGCAATATTTTGAAAACTTTCAAAAATTTTCAAAATATTTCGCAATATTTCGAAATATTTCACAATATTTCGAAATATTTCGCAATTTTGTGAAATATTGTGAAAATTTTTGAAATTTTGCGAATTATTCAAAAATTTTTAAAAGTTTTTGAAATATTGCGAAAGTTCGTAAAATATTTTTCGAATTTTTAGTTTATATATGTGTTTTTAATATATTATATTTGCAATATTTTTTACATTTTTTCAAAATATTTTGCACTATTTTGCAATTTTAAAATTTCACAATCCATCACATCAATTGCAATTCTTTTGCAATTTTTTTGTATATAATAACTTTCAAAATTTTGCATCTATATATTTTGCTGATGAAAGAACTAGTAAAACTGTCTAAATAGAAAAAAAATTTATATATAAGCTAAATACTACAAAAAAAATAATTCTTAGAAAATAAATTTTATATTGAAATCTTATAATAAGAAAATATAAACTTTTAGTAAGTAATATAGCAAAATTTTATTAATACAATTAATTTTATATTTTAAATAAAAAATAATTTTAACTTTATTTTAAATTGATTTATTTAAAGTATCTAAAAGTGTGTCAAAATAGTAAAGTAGTTTAGTTATTACTCTACCAAGCAACAAGTTCAAAGTTCAAATTCTACAAATTAAGTTTTCAAAAAATAAACATGTATTATAGTAATAATTATCTGTCAATTAGTTAAATTTAGAATCTGTAATCTTGGTTATACTATCTAGATAAAGCCTTAGTATATAAATACCAAGAAACTGAGATGATCAAAATCTGTTCAAAAAGATCTAAGTAAAAAAGTAACTACAATCTTTGATAGTGCTATAAGAAAGATTTAAATTTAAAAATTAGAACTAAGATTAGAAAACCAAATAACAACAAGAGCTTTAATAGAAATTTACCAATCTAATTACTAATTTAAAAAAGTTAGAAATTTATAAAGCTGTTATAGAGTATACCAACCCTGGCTAGCTAATATAAAAAACTAAAGTAAGAGGTTTTACTTACCAAACTATGAGCTATATATAGAAGTTAGGAAGAAAACTAGTTGAATAGTAAAATACTAAGTATGTCTAAAGGACTAGCCTACTAAATTAAATAAAAAAAGATATATACTAGAAAATTATATACCAAGCCAAGATAAGAGCAGTAAACACTTAAAGCCAAGCCAAGATTAAATCTTCTAGGTTATTAGTTAGAAGTAAGAAATAGACTAATAAAAAAAAAATCTAAATGTAGATACTAAAATTAGAAAACAAACTTTATAAGAGCAAAAGTAGTCAAAAAAGCTTAACTACAAGTAGGAGTCTTAGCAACTACACAAAACTAAGTTGGTTCAAATAGGATAGGAAAAGCTCTAGTAGATATACTTCAAAAATAGCCATATATCTGCTTTAGTAGAAAAATACAAACTAGTAATTAATTAGTGCAAATCTAAAATAAGTTATAGAAGTTTTAAGTCAGTGTATACAATTTAGCAAAATAGCCTAATAGTAGTTTTCAAAATAGCATGATATACTTGAAAATAGTTAAAATTAAAAGGTTTAAATAAATAACTTTCTAGTTAGGTTATAGGTATAATATCTAGTGTAGAACCTGTAGATGAACTACTTAAATAGATTTTCAAAAGATATATATATGGCTAGTTGTATTTTTATTGTAACTATAATAGCAAAATGATTATTAATAAAGAATTCTTATAGCCAAAAAGATTACTTTAATACTGAAAAAAAATCTTTTAAAAAAAATTATTAATTTGGTCTCTTTTTGCAGTAATTAAACCATGCTATCTCAATTATATATATATAAGTTATTTACTATTTTTTAAAAACTTTAGCAATTTTGCTCAGATCACTAACTGGCTTTTATTTTATAAGGCTAAACCCTTTGATATTTTTCTGCTATTTTTATACTTTTTCATAACTCATTAGCTGATATTTTTACTGACTTCTAATCTATAATAACTAAATATAACAAACTTCTTTAAAATTCTTTCTTTACTACTAAATATTTTAAATTTAATTTATGGTCTATTCAATTTCCTGTGATTTTTTTTTTTTAAAAAAGTCAAACTACCAGTATACAAAATTTATCACAACTCTTTCTATTAATTATTATATCCAAAATTGAAACTAAAGAAAAGTTAAAAATAAAAAGACTTTATATTAAGAAAACACTTAGAATAGTTCTAAAAGAAAAGTTTATACAAAAAAAATCAAATATAGTTTACTAGAACAGTTTTCTTTAATACAAACTCTATAGCTAGATACAAAAGAAAATATTAACTTTTGAGAAGTTTTGTTAATTTTTGAGGATTTTGCTTGTATTCTATTCTGCAAATCAATATTATACCAAAACAAATAAACCAAACAGAAAAATAAACAAACAACTTTTTTGAAACAACCAAGCCTATAATAAAGATAGAAAATAAAACAACAATAAAACAACAAAAAACATATGCTAAAATAAAAAAAATAAACAAATATGTAAAATAGTAGCACTTTTTGTATTAATACAAAATGTATTCTATTATTATAACTGGGCTTAATATAAAAAAGTAAGCAAACAAAATTTAGAAGAAGAGGAAAAAATCTTGCTTAAATGCAATATTAATATAAATATTTAGATTAATAAGATAGATCAACTGCAAATCATAAACAACAAACTAAAAGATAAATTTATAAGTATAGAAGAGGGTTTATATTATTTGCCCTACAACAATCTGCCCAACAATAATTTTTTAGTAATATTTTTTAAGAATATTATTAAAAAAATAGCTGTCAGGCAAATTGTTGTAGGCAAATAACATGAATCCTATAGAAGACATAATTATACAACTTTTAAAAATAAGTATCTATAATAATATTAAAATAAAAATTAAGAACCACAATATAGCAAAATTTAGTAAGAGAATTAACCAAAACCAACAAAACAAACTAAAAATTAAAATTAAACCAATCAGTATAAACAAATTTAATAATACAACATGGAAAAAGGGCTTTAAAAAAAGTAAAAATTATATTAGTTCTATAAAAATTAAAGAAAATGAAACTAAAAAAACTTTATTTAAAAATAAGTATAGTATAATAGATTATGGTCATGAAGAAAAAGTAGAAAATAATATATCAGAAGTTTTGAAAAAGCTACTA